CTTGGCCTGTGCTTTCCAAACAATGAACCGTTTATGGACATGGAAAAATATCTCCTATTTTAGTATGTTCGGTTTACCTTTACAATTTCTGTTATTCATAATAAGAAAATGGCCCGTGTTATAATAAAAGACATTTGCAAGACTAGATAGGCCAAAGACCACTTCTTTCATATTCCAATTGCTTCTCTCTACATTCCTATCAATGAGTGAAGTTGTTCATACAAAACACGCCCAAAGAATTTACTAAAACAGTTGGTGAGGATCCAATCATCTTATTGAATATTGCAAGTTGCTGGATTCTAAGCCTTAGGGAGCAGAGTCCTGATGTAACTTTATTATTAGTGTATGTTAATTATACATGTGCAGTAATAACTATTAGGTCATATCAATTGTTGCTTGTTAATGAAGGTATAACAATTTTCTAACAAGTCATCAAATCCTGAGTGTGAAGACACACAAAGGGTGCTTTGATTCACATTGTTTATATTTATTAACACATATGTGATAAGTGTATGTTAATGTCTTTGTGGTGTTTGGTCTCTCAGGACAGGAGCCTTTCTCTCAAACAAAAGACCATGTCCTAGAATGCTGTCATGCCTACTTATACAAGTAGGCCCTACCATTTGAAAGTTAATCTAGCATTTAATAAAACTGTTATCAATGAATATAGGAGTAGGGCACATATAGTGTATTTTTGTGGGATCAAATGCATTTGATTAAACTGATTGCACAGTATGTCTGTTTCTAAATTTAAAAAAAAACATTCAAGTCGCATCTTTCTTCTAGACCAGTGTTTCTCAACCTTTAAGATAGGAGGACTTCAATTCCCAAAATTCCCTAGCCAGCCTGACAGGAAAATTTTGGGACTTGAAGTCCACCTTTCTTAAAACTGCCAAGGCTGAGAAAGACTGTTCTAAGCAAATAGTAGAACCGGTTCCCACTGTGGAAAAGCCCAAACATCCAATCCTTTCTAGGAATCTTTTCAGAAACTCAATATGTATGTAAGCATGTCAAACTAGAGCAGCGGTTCTCAACCTATGGGTCGCGACCCCATTTGGGGTCGATCGACCATTTCACGGGGGTCGCCAAGCAAGGCTGTCCGCCATTTTTTCCCCTTTTCCGGCGGGTGCCTTACCTCCCTTGAGCTGGGCCAGCTGGTGGTCAGCCTGCTCCGTCTCTGCCGCTTGCCAGCTACACCTCAGCCAGCGCAGGGGGCGGAACCACGCATGTGCGGCGCTCCCGGGCAGGGGAAGTCCTCGACTTACGACCGGTTGGGTAGTCCTCGACTTACGACCGGTTTAGTCCTCGACTTACGACCGGTTGGGGGTCGCGGCATTAAAAAGGTTGAGAACCACTGAACTAGAGTGTCTTTTCAGTGCCAGAAACATCGGAGAGAATTCAGAGATCTACTTGATTATAATTTCCTGAAGAGATTAGATGAATCATGCATGTCAACCAATTGGCAGACAAAAGACTAAAGATTTAAAAGCCAATGTATCAGACTGCAGCAAAGCAGGGGTGTGTAAAATGTGAAGGGCATTTTGGTATTCTGAACTTGGAACAAGACATGCAGTATTCCAGATTTTCATCACACGATCAGGACAAATGGGAGCTATTTTTGTTCCACAAAGTTTAAGTCCTAATTTTTTTTTTAAAAAATCCCCAACCATTAAGAATGTATATTAACCAATTAAACAAGTGGCTGTCCCTACCTTTTTGGCTGGTTCTAATTGAGGAAGGAAAGGAGGTGAAGTAGTTTTGTTCCCTCAGAATAAAAGCATTTGAAAGCCATTTCAGAGAGCAGAAGCAGGAATGCAGTACTGTACTACTTCTCTATAACTCTCTAAAGCAGCTGTTGGGGGGGGAGGGAGAAGGGTTGTTTTTTTTTATTAAGTTGCAGATGAGGGTTACATTCATATGTCCCTAAACACTTTTTAGCAACAGATCTAAAAAAAGTGCACAGCCCTATTATTTTTGTTTTATGCTAGGAAAAAACAGCTTTCCCTTTCTCTTCCTTCTAATGCAGATCATTAAAGGCATTTCAATTTGTAGTTGTATAAAAGGAGATAATGCAGCATTTTGACCCTGAAAATTCATAGGGCATGTCAAGCGATTACCTGAAATACCAAGCACAAATAGTTCTGAAATACATACATTGTATTGCTATCTACGGAGTCAGCATTATTACTGTCAAACTCATTCCTTCTGGCCTAAAAATAAAACTGTGCTACTCCTGTGATCTGAAATTAACAAACTTTATAGGTATATAATTTCAACACAAGTTTTCAAGACTAGCAGGTGACCCAGGCAAGCAGGGAAAAGGTAGATCAGATATGAGCTGCACTTAATCGCCAACTAAGTACAACATTGCATACACAGCCATATATAACATTCCTTCCTACACACTTTTTGCATTCTTAAATTGGATTATTTGGTCCTGTTGAACTCCAATGGCTTATTGCAGAATAAACAATTTGACCTTGTTATATTCTGGGTAGAGAAACCGCTGTCTTCAGTTTCTCCTGATTCAGCCATGAAAAAAGCTCAATAATCTTTCTTCATATTTTCTACTGCAAATACTGTAGAATAAAAAGTCGAATGCAGTTTATACCAAAACACCCCATTTGGAAGTGTCCCTTGAAATTAATGGGACATAGAATAATACCATTTTACCAAAATCACAAACATAATTCATAATTAAAGGGCCACCAGTGGCTTTATAAATGCCACTATATCACATTAAAGAAGTAGTGCAAGATCCGAAGATGTGGAGAGACCTGGCCCACAGAATCGCCAAAAGTTAGACATAACTGAATGGAATCATCATCATCATCATTATCATCTTCTTCTTCTTCTTAAAGAAAATAAACTAAAATTAATGGTTAACCTACATTACACCCAGTGATACCCATTTCTGTTTTAACAAGGCCCCATTCAGAATTTGTAGTATTTTTCTATCAACAATATCTGCAATGGACAAGGACTGTATTCCTGATGACAGAGTTTAAAAACAACAGTGAACTTGAGTGTCTACTTATTTTTTTTGAACTCAGATCATTTTAGAAGCAAGTTAATCTAATGTTATCTCCTCGCAGTGTACATCCAAACAACTATTAGTTTGTATCCACAATAACAAATGTCTTTTGAACTATAGCCACATTCATCTAATGAATCCTTTTGCAAAAGGAAAATGAAACCCTGTGTTCACTTTAGAACCAGCATAAAAAGGCAAGTGCAATTAAAAGTACTCTTTATCCTAAAATGCTGCACTTCATAAGAATTAATTTAATGGCTTTCTTTTTCTTACATTAGTAATCAATTGCTCATGTTTCGAAAGCTAAAATGTACCTTTAATGCTCATAGCTGAATGACACACTAATGGCCTATTGCATGTAATTATGACAATGTTGAAAATATATGTTATCCTATATATGGATGTTACCATAATACATAATGAAAGGTATTCTAATTTAAAATTAGTATTATTTGCATTTTATGGCATTTATATACAGTAGATCATATAAAATTTGCTTTTCTTTTTGAACTTCTATCCCATTCAAAACAAAAGATAAATATAATGTGGTTTTATATTTTTATTTTATATACTACTCACCAAAGCTGGTTCTCATGAAATTTGGGAAAACAAAAACAGAAGAAAAACAGAAGAATATATATCTCAAACTCAGCACAGACAACTGTTGGTTTGACTTTGCTCTTAGAAAAAAAGTTACAGTCCAGAAAAGACAACATTTGGTAATTAGTGTACAGGCCTGAACATGTAAATTAGAAACTGGTTTCTAGGAATGGTTTTGTATTATAATGATGCAGTCACACAGTATTGATGTCAAGCATTCAAAGAATGATAATAACACAGAATTCTTCAAAATTATTATAAAACTGTAATGTGATCACCTGGAATCCTGTTACAGTGCCAAACTGCCTCTTCAGTTAAAACTCCCTATGACAATGACATATTTCAACAAGATGACAGATTCAGTAATGCCCTTTACAGTTCAGAGAATTTTACAACAGCTCTGGATTATAAAGCAGATTATCTTCCTTTTTTTGTTTTGCTCATTGACTAGGTATTCTGTTTGGTGATTAAGCTAACTTCCTCTTATTTTTCCTATTAGCAAAGCATCTAGGTCAGTGATGGCGAACCTTTTAGAGACCAAGTGCCCAAAAACTGGCCCCGCCCTGCTCCACCCCCTGCTCTGCCCCCACCCCGCCTGCCCACAGGGCCACTCACTGCCTCCAGGGCCCGCTGCAGATCACCCAGCAGCGCCATGGCAGCCATGCCTTCTGCCCACGCCCCGCAGCATCAACTGTGCACAATGGGGCGTGAGGTCAGAGTCTTGTCTACGCTGCCTGGCTGCCATGTCCTTGACTCCACTGCTCCGCGTGGGCCACGCTCGGGGGTAACCCTTCTCCAGGAGGACTGTTGGTGAGGAGGGTGTCACGGGGGGAGGCAAGGCTGGGGCAACGGCATGTGTGCCCACAGAGAGGACTCCGAGTGCCGCCTCTGGCACCTGTGCCATAGGTTCGCCACCACTGATCTAGGTGCTTGGCATGTATGTACACAAACTGTCCCAGACACATTTCCAGTACTTCTTTTTCTCAGATGAAAATAAAGGCCTCTCTGAAGATTAAAAATTGCAAAAAAAAAATTTATTTTGCCAAGTCTGGGGCAACTCATGTATTTCAATCTGAAAATCCAGACCTTCCTGAACTGTTAATAGCCCTCCAAAATACTAGCTCTTAGAAACAGCATCTACATTTCTTTCTAGCTATGCTCATCACTTTTTAAAAGTGCATTTTGAGAAAGAAAGAAAGAAAGAAAGAAAGAAAGAAAGAAAGAAAGAAAGAAAGAAAGAAAGAAAGAAGACAAAATGCATTCTATAATAACAACAGGAAACAGATTAATGACATTCCATTTCTGAAGCACCCTTTCAAGAGGATATTCACAAGAGGTTCAAATAACAAAAACATGGTAAAAATAGATTGGTCTATGAGGTATGCACAATTTCTTCAACACTTCATGACACTGCAACTCTTTTTGCAGTGTACTTTTCCTTTTCTTGTGTCACAATACAAGATCTCTGTTAGACAGTATTCAAAAGATTTTTTTTTAAAAAAGGAAAAAAGCTACTAAACAGGTATCATGGGGCAGTCACAATACCATAGCCAGGGGCTGTGAATTATGTTAAACAGATCCAGCATAATTAACTACAATACAATTTGAATTGTGCAGATGAAGGATCTCTACCACAAAACTTGCAGTACAGACTACTGAAGAAAGAGTTGCTGAAGATTTGGAGTTTTAACTACAGTGCTGAATACTACCGGTGATAAAAGCATTCTCTGCTACAGATATTCACCTCTTATGGCTGCACAACTGCATTTCCTGTTAAAATGCTGAATTTGCTGACATAGGTATGCTGAAGTCTCCCCCTTTAAAAATATGGACAATTCTTAAAATATATCATTCGGTCACTATATTGTTGATCCTTTCTTCTAGTGGAGTTTAAAATCCTTCCCCAAAAGGAGAGAAAGTCCATCCAGTATGCTCCTTTCTACTGGCATATTCATATTTGAACACATAACATGATGCATTCTGTAAAGTACCCAAGTTCCTCACTGTGTCCTTGTGTCCCATTCATTCACCTTTTAAAATAGGCATTCATAAAAATACTGAAGAATGCAGTACCACATACCACCTGACAAAAATGCAAATAACTGTACAAGAACTAGCCACAAATTGCTAAGAGTCATATCTCGGGAAACAACTTCAGTCTGTCCTTGCAGAGGAGGGAATGTTCCTGAAACAGAAGGGAAAAAAACATTTTGTGACAAGTTCAAGCTACCTTTCTGGAATTTTTCTCCATATCAATGGAATTAACAAGAACTCAGGGCACACCAGATATAACTCTGGCTCTCTTTTATAATCATCAGTACATTAGGAAGCAGTTGTGTTACCCATCTGCAAACACTTTCCTATCTGGAGTAAATATTGTTTATATATCTTAGTAATGTCTATTCCACTAAGGCTAATTAGTTTTACCAACATTTTGCTATCAAATCCTAATCAAGCAATGGAAAATGAATGTATCTTTATTTAATTTCGGTTGGGTAAGCATCGGGGTTTAGCTTCACCTCTGATTAGCATCAGAGCTGAATACCTTGAACTTGGGGTAGGGCAGTGGTGGCGAATCTATGGCACGGGTGCCAGAGGCGGCAACTCGGAGCCCTCTCTCTGGGCACACATGCCATTGCCACAGCCTTGCCTCCCCCCGCGACCCCATTCTCTCCAGTAGACTCCCTGAAGGAGACTCGCCCTCGAGCGTGGCCCACACGGAGCAGTGCAGTCAAGGACATGGCAGCCAGGCAGCGTAGACAAGACTCTGCCTTCACACCCCATCATGCAGTTGATGCTGCAGGGCACAGGCAGAGGGTGTGGCCGCCATAGCGCTGCTGGGTTGCCTGGGTGATCTGCGGAGGGCCCTGGAGGCGGTGAGTGGTCCTGTGGGCAGGCGGGGGATGGGGGGCAGAGCGGGGTCGGGCAGGGGGTGGAGCAGGGGCGAGGCCAGTTTTTGGGCACTCGGTCTCTAAAAGGTTCGCCATCACTGAGATAGGGTTTCCTCTTCAAAGAAGGCATATCATACAATGTATTTCCAACCCACATAGACAAAGGAATCAGAGTAACTTCAATAGTTTTGCTTATCAAGAAACTGTTTTGCTCACAAAGCAAGACGCTGCATCAAATCTAACCGGAAGGGCTCAAATGCAAACCGGAAGTTTGCATTTTTCTAAAATTAAAGCAAAGATGACAGCATTTCTGCAATGAAACAGCATGGTGAACTAGTATTTAAATGTAAGATTAATGTATTATATATGTTTATTTGAATAATAACATTGCTCAATATCACCAAGTGTCATTTTCTCTTAACAAAACTTTAAAAGTTCATGGCAGCAAGAGAATTACAGGACAACTCTCAACAACTGTTATTTTTTTAGCCACCTGAACTTTTTAAGACAAATTTACAAGTTATTTATGAAATAACTCATGGTTTCTACTATAGATTTCTTCTTTGATTAGGCATTGTCAACAAAAGTCTAATGGACATCAAAGACTTAACAAATTTATTGTACAAAATCTTTAATGTCCATTTTACAAGTATATATTATCTCAATAAAGGAGACTAACCCAAACACATATCCATTGCTTGGCAGACCAGCGAAATGAGAATATAAATAGGAGTTGTGTATCATGACAGCAACATCTACATGGATTAAGAAATAGTTATTGGTGTTACACAGACAATTCTTATATAGTACCTGTCTTGTAAAAGTGTGACAAAAGACCCTCCTTTTCAATGAACCGTTGATATAACCAAACAGTGAGTGCTTCAGGATCAATGGGTACATCCTTAATTGGAAAAATTCTGCATTTAAAAAAAACCAGAAAAGTAAATTAGATGTATGAAATATTTTTATTTTTTAAGATGAATTTCACTTTTGCTTTGAACTCCATCAGGATTGAGTATGTTTCAATATTTACAATTTATTTTTTAACAAAATCTAATATTTATTAGTATTATTCAAAGGATACATTTTTTTAAAATCACCAATTATTGGGGCAGTTGAACTATCGAATAATAGTTATTCTTCAATTTCAATTTAAGAAAATAGACATTAATTCTGAGTTTCAGTTCAAACTCTAGCATCTGGCCTATATTTCACTAAGAGCTGCATTTTATACCTTCAGAGACCTCTGCATTTTGTAAACATAAAACTGATTTAAATCTTGTACTAAATATCTCTTGTCTAGATTCTGAAAAAGAGAATCAGCAATTAAATATTCACAACAATAAATATGTAATAAATATAAAAGGGCTGATAACAAGAACCTGAACCTCAAAACTGATAATCTCTGAAATTTTTCTAGCTCTGATTTTATTTTCTATTTGCCTTGGTTTAGGAAGACAAGTACTATAAAAGAAAAATTAACATAGACAATACTATCTCTGCCTAATGCTTTCCTGTGTGGCTTATATTATATTTATATGATTCAGTTATGGTGAAACATGAAAAAATTATGCCATTTGCTACTTGTGAACTTCTGTGTTCTGTGTCACATTTTTCTTTTATTTTTCTTGACAAAGATATGATGGAATAGCTACTTAATTTTATATAAATTAGAAATTTGAGAAGCTCTCGGCTTGAAAGCACCAACCTCATTCCAATATTATATACGATGTCTCTTATTCTTAATTTTGTTTAGTTTCGTTGAGAGCATCCTGGCTCTGCAAATCTAGGTTCTTACATGCATTATGCAGAGTCTTATGGGTGTACATTCTTACACTCTACTTCCTATCTCAGAAGGGCTCATCACTAGGGTACTGTTGCAATAAGCCCAGTACCAGAAATGCAGGATTTATGCTAAAAAAGAAATAACAAGCCTTCAAAAGCAAGAATAAGTTTAAGAAAATCAATATTAGATTAATGGAATCAACTAAGTCAAGTTAACATAGAAAGGTATAAGGATACTGACTTTTGAACCACAATGTTATCTTATTATAAAATTCTCATAGATTTGAAAATGAAAGATGTTTTCCGTTTGGCATCTGGCATTCCCAAATTGGCCTCTCCTCTTGATTTATAGAAGACGCTTTCCTCTCATTTTTATTGCTTTATTCCTCAATTTTGGTTTCCTGAAAATAAGCAGGCCAGGAAGTAACTGAGATCCATTACCTATAGTAATTTAAGATCCTTTACCTATGAATATGTATGCTTACATTGTCTGCTGCTTATGTATTAGTTTCCCCTGTCTTTCTGACAGGCAGACAGACCCTTATTGGGTGGAGTCTCTCAATATTCTTTGGAAGGAGTCCCACCAGCATGTGCTGTTTAATAAGCACTTCAATAAGCCTTGGTTATTTGTTTTGGGTCCTGCATTTTGATTCCAAACAAGTAAAACACATTCCATCCTCTGGCACCAGTATATTGAAACTTCTCCCTCAATCTGCAAAGCAAAGATTTTCTCTTTATTGCCTAGTAAAATACTGAAGAGGGGGGGGGGAGATCTTCCATGCAATAAAAATCCAAGGTTTTTTAGATGTTACCATAATAACATAGTTCACAGAAAAACAGTTTTATTGCCCCAATACAAAAAAGCTAATTCACTAAATGAAATATTTCCTGTTCATTTGAACCATTACATATCTGTTTTACTCATTTCACTGCCAATTTCTGATTCTCATCATCCTTGCCAGGAAGAGATTGAAAAGTCATGAAGTAGCTGCTTTTGTTAGTAAGCTCTCTAACGCAAGTGCCTCTGGGCTTCTCTTATGCAAGACTACTGAGCACTAGTCTTCTGTTAATACTAGGAAGTGGTGATCTAAGACTTAGAAATTCAGAAACATCTTTCATAATCAGATCTGTTTGTACTGTCCCTTTTGTTGGTATGATTCTTTATCTCTAAAGCCTTTCTAGTCTACTTACGATACAATTTATTATGCTGAAAAGTTTTTCAAGTTATAGAATAAACTACATTAGTGCATACTGTGTTATATTCCAAATGTATCCTACTTTGGGGGAGGCAGTTTGAAGGTACCACTGATCTGTTATCCCAAAGGTGCTTTTTTTTAGGAGGCAACTGGACTTTCTTGTGTTTCTTTAGATAGTTCCATAGACACTCTTCCTTAGACACTCATCTGTTAAGTCCAATCTATTGCTCATTACAGGAATCTCAATAAAAGCATTCTCATGTCAGAAAAAAATTAACACAGATCCATAGAATTGGGACATGACTAATATAGAGTATGTTTTGTTCATTGAGAAAATAACACGGTTGCATGTTTAATCGGAATACAGCATCATATTTTGCTACTTAATGAACACAATTGTGAGTTTGCTGCTATGCCAGGGACACTGCAGCATACAGTTTAGGAACCTTTAAGGGCATTGTGAGCTGACAAACTTTGCAACATCTGTGGGTATAATAACCAAATCTTGGGTATAATAACCAAATCTTGAAAATTTGCTGCTGCTTCCCTTTGCCCCATTGCACCAAAAGGAATCAAAGTGGAATTATTTTAAGTCTCTTTCTCAGAGACTTCTCGTTTCCCAGGACTCAGTAGTTTATCGATACTTAATGGCTCTCCTAACAGCTCTTGCACAACCTTGACAAAGCTATCCCTGCACTCCTCTACAGAGACATGGAGTCTGGATACAACTAAGAGTCCATCTCAGTGTTATTTATCTATAGATGTCACACTGGGACCATATATAATAAAACACAATAACGACTGCATTTCAAATACCCTAAGTTCTATTTATTTATTTTCTAATGGCTAGTAGTACACAGTCATGGTAAGTTTTGATTTAGCTACAATTTCAAGATCCTTTTGACATATATTGTTACTAAGCCAAGTATTATATATTTGATATCTTTCCATTTGATTTATTTGTAAGAACTCTGAATTGATTTCTATTAAATTTCATCGTTATTTTCAGTCCACATCTCTTGCCTTAGCTTACCAATGTAATTTTGAATACTGTTGCCATTTTCTAGAATATGCCACCCAGTTCAAACTATTAAAGAATGTGTTAAAGAGTATGTGACCAAAACTGAATACTGTAATACCATCTGGAGTTTACACCAATTTATTTATTACTATAATACATATACCACTTTATTTCCAGAGACTCAAGCAGCTTAAAGAATGAATATATGAAAATAAAGAATAAAAATAAATAAAACCAATACAACACCATTTGGCTTAAATGATCTTATTCATCTCATCTGAAGAACCATGATTTTATAGCTCTCTGAAAACATAGTGTGTTTTGGGGGGAGGGAGGAGGTAACTGGATATCTAGGGGAAAATGGCTCCAAAGAAAGGAGTCCATTGCTAAGAAGACTTCAATAAAATCCCTGAAAAATGTATCTCCTTGTTGGTGGGAGTCTCAGCAGGCCTTCTCTCCCACTTTTCACTGGACAGGAAAATTCAACTTAAGGAAAGTGGTTGTTGAGATACACAATTTGACAAAGAACTTGGTGATGAGAACACTGACTACATTTTCAAGTCAGTTTAATCAATGTCCCACTACCCTATATTCAATTAGCTTGCCAATCAGAATATCATGGAAATTATAAAGGCAGGATGCATACACACACACACTGCCTTTATTATAATAAATATATACCAGTAATTATAACATTAAATGCTTTATGAAGTCCATAGCACTACCAAAAGAAAGCCTGCTCAGAATATCTGATCTGATCAGACTTATTCTTGATAAATCAAGGGTGAATTTCAATTAATCACAACATGGTTTTGAAGTGTTTTCTTATTTAACAGTTTATAATCTGTTTTATAATCTTCCAGAGATATGAGATTGACTGAAGTATAATTCCATAATATCTTATTTTTCCCATTTTTAATGATAGGGACATTTGCTGTCTTCCATCGTGTAGAAGAACTTCAAGTATTTGGCAGGATTTTTCACAAATAACAGACACATATCCATATGTTATATTATACCATGATTTAGCATTACATCAACTTGCTGAAATCAATCTGTACAAAAGCTTTGGACCTGCTCCCTCTTCTCCACTCTTATGGGAAAAATGGCTTTTTCTACCACATAATTTCATTTTATAGAATCCTGGCTTATTTCTTACTGCCGTTTATCACTTCTGCCCACTGTTGAAACATACTTGTTTGAAATGGTGTTCTAAAATAGGGTTTATTTGACTTTGTAAGAATCTGAACAGCATACTAGAAAAGCAAAATTGAAACTAAGTGCTAGCAGAACTCCTCTGGATGCATGGGAAAAGAGCAGTAAGAGAAATGGAAGCCTCAAGTGCAGTGGTGATTCATTCCAGCTCATATTCCACCGTGATTCTTTTAGAAGGTGTTAAAACATGATTTTGACAACTTAATGTTGAGTGTAATAGGGGTCCACCCTTTTTAGTCAAGAATCTACTTACCTTAATTAATTTAGTTCAACGATATATCTCTATATTCCGCTTTCAGACAATAGAGTAGGGTATATAAATGTTACTCATTATAAAAAGAAACACCACTGAATCATTCCCAAAATACCCCCTCCTTTTGAGTTATGGGAGATGTTTTCCTCCCTGTTTTATTACTTTTTTGCTTAGTAACCTGAGCTCATTTGCTTACAATAACTTGAGGTCTTTTACCTATTACGTACATTGTCTGTTATATATGCATCAGTCTCTCCCACCTTTCTAAGGTATAAATATGAGTGTCGCACCAGCATGTGCTGTCTAATAAAACACTGCAGTAAACCTTGATTATTTGCTTTTGGTCCTGCATTTGATTTCACACCAACCCTCTCAAATGTTGGCAGAAAAGTGATGGAACATGTAATCCTGTATTTTATAAGACATCAGGAAGAAGAAAACTATGATTTAATGTCAAGTGCTAACCAGCCTATTTTTAAATCGCTGTACTGTTAAGTTGCAGAAACTGTCAGCACTGAAAAGAAATTTAGGGAAAAGAAATTCACTCTCTTCCATATTCTCCCCATATTATTGAGTGAAAACCAAGCTGAAAAAGAGATACACCTAGAAACACAAATAGCATTTTTTTTCTTTTTTTTACACAAGTAATTATTCTCATGAACTTTGTTGCTGTTGCAATAAATGTTAAATATAGCCTAAGAAAATAAAGGTGCTCTCTGTGGTCTTATATGTCTTTGTTTATGGCAGAAGCAACCAGCAAAAAACTGACATCTGAATACACACAGGATCACCTTGTTCCTACCTGAATTGGTTGAACCTATTAGATCATCTAGGAAAAAACAACTCCAAATATCCGAGAGAGGAAACAAAGGGAGCTAAAACAAGGAAGTGCTGATTTCCAGGGCAGTATGAAACTTCTGGAGCAATATCCTTGCAGAGATCAAGATGATGATCTCCCTGAGTGCATTCAGGATGTTGCAGAAAGGCTGTTCCAGGCAGGGTTTTAATCTGTTGGGGGTCTCCTTTTATTTTATTGTTTTGTACTTAACTCTTAGGTTTTCTTTTTGTGTTTGTGAGCTTATCACAGATGTTATAAATATGTTTTCTACTACATATGCTAAAGCCTAATCATATATAAATTTATATATGGAGGGGCTCTCTCCTCAAGCTTACTAGTTTGGACTTGGGACTGTAACTGATTAGTTGCATACTTACAGCAACCAGGATTAAAAGTATACTTTCCAGCATTTCCAAATGCAAAACTGCATGCCCCAAAATTAAAACACGCAGTGTAAAGCTGCTTATACAGTATTTCTATACAAGTGTATGCTCTGAGATGTTCCACTAGGAAAATTTCAAATCCAGGTGTCTTAAAATGAATTGAAGACAGAAAGTGCATTTCATACCTGTAATGTACATGAGTAATTGTTGGCCGCCTGTAGCCAAGAATCCATGTCTGAATGTCTATGGGCTCAGCTTTGGGATATGCAATAGTTGTATCTATCACCCACTGAAGACCTTTTGATTTACTTTCTAAAAAAAAAATATAGAGGAAAGAAAACCAGGAAAACAACACTTTAAATCACATATACCATAATTCTAATGTAACATTTCATTAATGTTAACATGCTAAGAATTCATCCCTAAAAATACCAAACCTCATATACTATATTCAAAATGTTTATTTCTTCACTTGGCTAACAAGTGGAGAATTCTCTTAATCTCCAAATTGCTGCCTACATACATTGGCTAATTTTAATCAGTACTACACATCAAATCCTGGATATAAAAAAATTGTCCTGATTTCTTAATAAACCATGAAGTAAATCAACACTGTAATGTGAAAGAAAAATGCTTGCCATTCAAATGCTTTAAACATATGGTTGTTTATGTTTTTATTAGTAAATTAGATTATTACATTTGTTTGTTGCCCATCTTAAAGCAACTCCATGTTAATGGAGTTGTTCTAATATCAAATTTAAATAATAATAATAATATAGTAGCTAAAATATGATTTTAAAAAATCCATGAGCACTGGATGTGCATTATTTGGTCTTCTTATTCTATCAAAAAGTGAATGGCTAATAAGCCAAGCACTTAACTCAAGCTATAAACACTAAGTGCTAAATGTATGTTTGTGTACTCTTTCCAGGCAAAAGAACTGACATCAGGCCAATGAGTAACTTTAAAGTGCTTGCAATTTCTAGTGTCACTAGCTTAGCTCTAAAATCAATTTTCAGATCCAATTTCTACACAGGAATATACAAGGTTAGGTTCTGGTATTAAGATTTCATGAACTAGAACTTCCTTTCTCTCACTTCTGTTTGCAAGAATATTCTTGCAATTCTTTAATATGCATGGTCCTTTAGTAAATATGCCTTTGACACAGATAACCTTATGTTTAATAACTGTTTAGAACAAAGCTGATTAATGTAAATGATATATTTCTTAATAACTGTAATATTGTAATCTACATTCCACTTAAATCAGCATTTTCATTATCACCTATATGGTAATTAGACAGAAACCTTTACCTTTTACCTACATCACCTTGCAAGTCCTAGAAGCATGGAGTTGACCCAGAACCTGTTGTTGACCCAGAGCTTATTGTTGGGGAAGGTATGTGTTGCAATAAAGCATTGTATACAGGTTTGCTATGCTGTGATGTGTCAAGTCCTTGGAGAGCAAAGAAGCGGGGCTATAAACATTCCTCAAATTGAAATTTTCATGAATATTCTTGTCATAACTTGAGTATAGTTATTTCACCACACCAGTGTTGTATCATTTAGATACAGTCTGATGCATATGGGAGGATAAAGCATGTTAATAAAACTGATGTAATGCCTTAACAACAGCTACAAAATCATTTATTCTTATAGTTCAGAATAGATACATTAATCTCCTTTATTAATACTGGAACTGCTACTGGTTTTCTGAAAGCCTCTGTTCCTGCAGTGCCCAATGACCAAATGCCTATTCAATACAAAAGCCAATTCTGGACTCTCTGAGAGAATGGGTCTGCTGTGCACCTTTAAAAATGTTGGCAGTAGATAGCAGCTCAACAATAAATTAGGAGGAGACAGGCATTATGGAGATTTGTGCAGAAATTCATTAAAATACAATGAAAATTCACATGGAGTTACCCACTCTAATTTAAGTATTATAACTACTTTAGAAACTTTTCAAAATTAAATAAAATCTTTCAAAAACTAAATAAAAAATTAGTATTCTAATAATTAGAAAATACAATGAGGAAGGATATTCAAAAGTGGACTACCCGATTCTGTAATAGTTTTATTCCCTATGCCACGGGTGTCAAACTTGTGACATCATGTGATGTGTCACGACGTATCGCGACTTTTTTCCCATTGTCGGCAATGGGGTGGGCGCGGTTTTGGCACCCCTGCCCTATGCCATCCGTCTGGTAAACTCTCAAGATTCGTTTTTCTTGCCATGCATATTTATACATAATCCGAACTAGACAATGTTGTTTCTCTGAGTCATATATGTGGGTATATGCATAATTCTGTATTTATTTATTTTGTCATATTTATGTAGTATATATTGGAAGTCGTGACCCTTTGAGAGCTATATGTAATGAAATTTCATTTTAATGTATGCCGATTAGTGTACATTCAAAGTGACAATAAAGATATTATTCTATTCTATCTGTGGTAAAAGTTCAAGGTAATGCCAAATTGCAAGGCTGTTACCAAAACCAAGTTACATGCTTATTTTTTATTGCCACCAAGTCAGTGTCATCTCTTAACAATCACATAGGCCTTCTCAGGATAATCTGTGCCTAATCTGGCCTGTCAAATCTTCCAATGGTACACCCATCACCACTGTATTTAAATCTATCCACTTTGCTGCTAGTTATCCTCTTTTTTTTTCATTCCATTTTTTCAGCATTAGAACTTCTCAGGGGATCTGAATCTTTACAAGATATGTGCAAAATATGATAATTTGACTCTGGTCATTTGTACCTCTGAATTGATTTGTTCTATGATTCATTTGTTTGATTTCTTAGGTATCCAATGGGAGTCTTCTCCCACATCAAATCAAAAGCATCAATACTTTTTCTAACCTGGTTCTTCAAAGTTCAACTTCCATACAATATTACCTCCATTTTTGATCTTTTTAGGTGGAGACATGTCACAACATCTGAATATATTTTCAAAAGGCTGCAACATTATTCTACCAAATGCTAATTTACGGGATACTTCTTGATTGCTGCTTCCTTTTTACTTTGTTATTGATAATCAATCCTAAAAGACGGAAATTATCCAGTATTTCAGTATCTTCATTCGACAGTTCTACAATTGGTTGCCATTGCTGTTGTCATCACTTTGGTTTTCTTCATATTTAATTATAATCCATTTTTTTCAATGTGCTCCTTGACTTGCATTACTAAAGCTTCCGGATCATCTGCATTTTCAACTATCATACTAATAGCATCAACTGTATTGATGTTTCTTCCTCCAATTTTAAAACAACACTTATCTTCTTCCGATTCAGTTTCTTCTCAGTATATTTTCAACACATAAACTGAATAAATAAACCACGTCTCCCTTCTTTGCCAATTTGGACTTATCCTATTTCATCATGTTCTGTCTGGATTGTGGTTACCTGACCTGTATAGAGATTTTTCAGATTTATCTAGATTTTTGAAGATTGGATGTTCTGAGAGTCTCATTTTCCTAAGGACATCCCACAGCTTGACATAAATATCCTGCGGCTTTCTCAATTACCAGCATTTATCAGCAAAGACGTACTTGTTATCCTCAGACTTTTCTAAGCCATTTTGAACATCTGACATCTCCTTTTCCATGTACGGCTCTAATCTTCATTGGATTATCTTGAGCTTTTTTTTAACTAGCATACAAAATAAGGATATTGTATAATAGTATAGAGCAGCGGTTCTCAACCTATGGGTCGCGATCCCATTTGGGGTCGATCGACCATTTCACGGGGGTCGCCAAGCAAGGCTGTCAGCCATTTTTTCCCCCTTTTCCGGCGGGTGCCTTATCTCCCTTGAGCTGGGCCAGCTGGTGGTCGGCCTGCTCCATCTCTGCCACTTGCCAGCTACGCCTCGGCCGGCGCAGGGGGCGGAACCACGCATGCGCGGCGCTCCCAGGCAGGGAAAGTCCTCGACTTACGACCGGTTTAGTCCTTGACTTACGACTGGTTTAGTCCTCGACGTACGACCGGTTTAGTCCTCGACTTACGACCGGTTGGGGTCGCGGCATTAAAAAGGTTGAGAACCACTGGTATAGAGTCATGGTGCTGCAGTGTTTAGAATGCAGTATTGCAGGGTACTTCTGCTGGCTGCCAGCTGCCAGCAGTTTGGCAGTTCGATTCTCACTGGCTCAAGGTTGACTCAGCCTTCCATCCTTCCCAGGTTGGTAAAATGAGATCCAGATTGTTAGGGGCAATATGCTGACTCTGTAAACCGCTTAGAGAGCACTGTAAAGCACTATGAAGCGGTATATAAGTCTAAGCACTATTGCTATTACCCTTCAGACAGGAAGACAGTGCAGAGAGTGGTGAGGATGGCAGAAAAGATTATTGGTAGCTCACTTCCTTCTATCCAGGACATAGCATATAAACGATGCTTGAGCAGGGTCTACAAGATTGTCCGGGACACTATACATCCTCTTCACAATCTGTTCTCTTTGTTACCTTCTGGGATGTGGCTTCGTAGTATCTGAAGCAGAACATCTAGATTCAATCAGTTTCTTTTCAGATTTGATGCCTTAGTTTGGTTAGAACCTTTACTAATTCATCTCCTATTGTTTGCTATATTTCTATAGATATTCCATTAATTGCTACAGTTTTCCATTAGTGACTTTTAGCATGTCCATTCAATGTTGAAAACTCCTGTGTTGGGAGATCTTTTGGAAGTGCATCCTTGCTTTTCTGTGTCAACCTGATGTAAGCCACTCAGTCACCTGAACTGCGAGATAGACAAATAAATTTGATAGATTAAACAGATCCATAGATCAATAGAGATAGAACGCTTTTATTTTCTTTATTTGTTTACAGATGTTGTTTTAATACTGTTTCTTGTCTTTTCTACCTGGTCTCTAAAATTCTTTGTTAAGTTCTTCCACCATTTGTTTTGACATACAGTTTGCTTTCTTCTGCTTCTTGGTGTTTTGTTGCTCTTCACACTTATCCTTAACAACTTTTTTATTTCATTCCACACTTCCTTTGGTTTCCTAGCAATGAAGTTCAGGACTTCAAAGCAACTTAAGTTCTCCTTGAAAATGCTGGGTATATGATCAATATCATAGTGTGGAAATGGGCTGGTTTTACTGTTTTACTTTAGCTAGATTTGGAACCTGCACAAAAACAGTTTATGATATAGTCAATTTGATTTATGCGTATTCTGGTGAGGTAGGCATCATTTCAATCACCATTGGAAAATAGAAAAGAATGAATTTCTCCTGCTTCTTTTCTGTTTCCTAGGCCATACAGTCCAACTACATTTTCCTTCCTAACATTTCCAACTTTGGCATTCCAGTTTCCAACCATAAGCAACACATGTTCTGTTGATTTCAGATTGCCCTTGACCATAAACTTAATCAACCTTCTTTTCTTCTGTACCAGTGGTAGATAATTATGATATGAAAAGGTTGTCTGCAAAATCTAATTGATGCTATCTGATCATTGAATGTACTGTGCCTAAGCGTTGTCTCTGTTATATCTTTCTTAATATGAAAGCAACACAATTTCTTTTTTGTTTTTCATGTCCTGACCACTAAACAGTATGGTCTTCCTGATTCCCACTACAAATGTTTCTTTGCAGGTTTCGATTTTCTTTTCCTGCATGGTAATATCATCAACTAGACACCCAGAAGGTTTTCTTCTAGCCACATCCGAAACACCTCTAGTACTCTGAAAGATCCTCAGTAATTCCTCGGAAGCATGTTGAGTCTGAGAGACCCAGCATCTAGCACTATATCACCAATCACTTTAACTTGTCTGTGTGGTTTTTAAAAAATACAGGTGTGGCTTACCATCTGCCTTCTCCCACATAATATGAAATGATGCCTTTGCTGTTGTCACCAAAGTAATAATCCAACCCCAGCATTTTCTTATATTGTTGCTGCTTGATATAGGTGTCAACTCTACAACGAACCTGGCTGAAGCCATCTTGCTTGTTCTAAGTTGCCATAAGAATGGGAGTGGGGAAGTGGAGGTTTTCTAATAATATAAGCAATTCTCTGTCCCATGGGAACCAAGGTCATTTCAAACAGTCGAATTAGGGAGTTGGGTGTACTATTAGAAAGCTTGCTAAACTATTCTATTGGGAAACGTAATTGATTGAATAGTTTTGGTATGGGAAGTTTAACTTTATAATAGTGTAACTCTTTGGAGGGAATTTCAGACTTGGTTTCACTTTTGATTGTGCCAATACTTTGTAACCAATAAACATGTACTTTGAGGACGCCTCTAGCCTCAGAGTTCTGATTTACTTGGTCTCATCTATCAGAACCATGGCAATAGGTTCCTGTCTGTTTAGCTGGACAACTCAAATAACATTCACACCTTGAGAACCTACTAGGTGTGTATTCTCTTGGTGTAATCTTTTAAAATTTAGCACAGCAGGATGTGAAGGTATATGATTGTTTAACTACTATTAAATATGATAATATGATAATAGTATGAAAATATTGATCACATTGCAAGCATCTTTTCTAACATTTGCCATATAGATATCTCAATGAATATGGAAAATAAAATCCAGAGATTAATTAGAGTTTCAGGAAAAAGCCCAGTAATGGCTTTATCTATTCAAAATGTTATAGACAAGAATGATTTAATATTATAGTAAACTATAATGAAAACACAATTGTTAATGACAGCAAAAACTGGGCAAGATTGCTATGACTGCTGCTGTTTCTATAATAGAGGTAGTCCTTGATGTACAACTGTAATTGAGCCTGAAAGTCATGAGGGTCATTAAGTGGGTCACCATGTGACTACATCTGATTTATGATATTTTTTGCTGTGGTTGTTAAGCAAACGACACAACCATTACACAAACCGATTATATTGGTTAATGTATCCATTTTAAATTAATCAATGGGCTAATTTTGCAAGAAACTGGAAGTAAACACTCATTTCTAGCAAAAAAAAATGTAAATCACACTGATGTGACTGCTAGGCACTGCAAATAGCCATAAATGTGGGCTGGTTGCCATGTTCTGGAAGATTCCTTTGACTCTTGAAATACTACTTCATGGTGATGGTAGGGGACTCATAGATCAAGTTACAAGAGATACACAATTCTGAAGATACTAGAAAAATAACTAAGTTTTCTCTTTAGCAGTTATCATAGATTTCAGCTATAGTCCCAGCCCATGGAAGACCTGTAGTTCTGAATCATCCAATGACATCTCAGGAAAAAGGAAAAAGATAAGCACTTATATTTATTTTTCAGACAGATATTCGTCAAGAAAAACTATAAATGAAGGGGCTAAAATGTTTAAATGACTCTCAGTTTAGTTACTTGAAGAAAATACAAATTTGTATCTATTTCAGAGACTGTTCTTAATAAGACTCTGACAGTTTTCAGTGTTGCTCCTCTTGAGAATTCTCCAAGTTCTTGCTTCCTCTCAAAGCAAACAAATTAGCCTATAGAGATTTGAATGGAACCCTGCAGAGTGCAGGATGCATGTATCTATTTGTCTGAACAGGTCATTTGCCCTCTTACAGTTTCTTGCAGTCAGAGGCTGCCAAGAACAATAGTTTGCCTTCATATTTCATATGAATACACCACGAAGCACAGTGTAAATACAAATCCTCACAACACCCCCATGGTCATGTGATTGCATTTTCGGTACTCAGCAACTGGCCACATTTACAGGCATTTGCAGCGTGCCATAGTCATGTGACTACAATTTATGATGGTTTGCTGAAAAACAGTGTTTACTTCTGGTGTCTGGTAAAAACCACCCCATGGTGAACAATAACAACCACAACTTTGCTTAATGACTATGACATTTGCTTAATGAGTGCCACAAAAAATACTGTAAAATCAGGTCTAGTTCCATGGTGATCCATTTTTTTGACCATCACAATTTATGTCCGTAATTGCCAGGGTCAATTACAGTCATAACTTGAGGACTACTTGTATTTTGTGGCAAATTTTGTTCCTAAGAAAGAAAGACACTGAACAAGTATTATTTTCGTAATGGTTTACACTGAAAATCATATAGGGGTCCACAGAAATGTGTGACCCCCAAAAATTGATCCCAGAACTGAGACTGGGCAGTTTGGTGTGTTGGGCCCTGGTTGTAATAAGCTCCAGTTGAGGTTTGCTTGAATTAAAACCATTCTCTGGATCCCTTTCTTCCTACAGTACTTCAATCACAGAAGATGCAGCAAACTATTTTATAAACCTATTCCAGGCAACTTTGACTTTCATATGAGACTAAGATAGTCTGAATAGAGTTTATGTTCTGCAAGTTTGCCATTGAACCATGAAGTGTAGATGTTGTTACTTCTAGATGAATATGAGCTCCTAAACTGACTAAATTTGATTTAAATGGAAGATTATTCTTACAGTGGCCTAAGTGGAAATATTCCGATCTTCTGATATCTGAATAACAGAAGGAAAAACCAAAGAAGCAGTGCCAGCATTTGCACCAAACTCTTGGGCATGGTCTCTACTAACAGATTTTATTAGTTCATCCTGTTCCAGTAATTGCTATTTGGGTAGCCACCTTCCCCGATGGCAAAAGATTCACTCTATAAGACCCCATGGACTTGCAACAGTCTGAGATTGGAAGGGAAATTGTCAGCAAAGACTACCTGCCTTAAAATTAGTCCTCTTAAGCTTCAGAGAAGATCATTAGGGCTATTGCTTCCCTCTGTTAACTTCTTCCATTCCCTCCGCTCCCCAGAAGGACTGAGAACAATCTTTCACCCAAGGAAACAGCACAGGGAACTTCTAACTCAGAGGTCCCCAACGTTTTGGGCATCAGGGACCGGTTCCGTGGAGAGAAGTTTTTCCGTGGAGAGGGTGCGTGGTTTGGTGTGCTGCCTGCATCTCGCAGATGGGGCTTTGCTTGTTTGTGTGGACCGGTTGCTGGCATGCCGCAGCCCAGTACCAGTCCATGGACCAGGGGTTAGGGACCCCTGCTCTAACTATTATGCTGCAGATGCCAAAGGTGGTCCCCGAAAAGAGCTACATGGAAAACTGCCTTTATAAGTTCTGTTGAAGATACCATTCAGATTCCAAATCACCTGGTATAAAGATGATCTTGATGGAAATATGCAAGAATCATTACCTAGGCAAAAGAAGCCAAAATACTTTTCAAGTCCAGAGTCCGGCGATATCATTTGGAAGCGGCTCAGGGAGATGCCTCCTAATTCACTGAAGTACAGCACAATCAGCCTTGCAAGATTCTGTTAATATTGCCAGTCTCAGGAAAGGTAAGTTTTAGCCTTCCTCTGGAGTTGATTTTCTGATTTGGGGCTGACATTCATCTGCCAGAAATCTTCCCTGAAGTACCTAAGGAGCTACTCAAGTCAATAGCAATAAAGAAAATTAAAATGAATTCAAAAAAGGAATTGTTTTGGTAGCTTAATAATGCTGCACAGCTTTCTGTAAATGATAAATTTACAGCATACCAGAATGCTAATGTATACAAATTGTTGTGTAACAAATTACATGTGCAATACAATACAGAATAAAACCTCAGACTACTTTTAAGATTCTGATCAGATAGCAGCTCTTTCATAAATATTCAAAATGTTTCATACCTGATACAGGAACCTTTTCACCCGNAAAGCCACCTTCTGGAAACAATACAATCCACTTGCGACTACGGCTCCTGTAATATTTTTCTAGATGTTCATGGAGGAGTACAAGCTGCTGGTCACGATAAGCTTTTCCCTAAAATGGAAACGACAAAAAGAATACTTTATAAAATATCAGAATAATCTCTACTTTCCCACCCAAAGTAGTTATTTTTACTCAAACCAATATGTTTACAATAAATTGTGAATTTAGGAAATAAAAAAGTAAACATGAAATTAATATATAATTAAATATTTTTTTCAGAACTTCAGTTTTCTTTATCAACAGCTAGGTTCACATATTACCACAAGGTATATAATATGCTTTGTTTGATTAGAACTTAGTATGAAGTATACCAAGTATGTATGGATTTTTAAATAAAATACAAAATAAGCCCTGGCTTATTACATTGTATGATGAGCGGGTCCCTGGTACTCTCTGAGTTTGGTTGTTTTCTTACAGGTGTTTCGCTACCCAAACAGGTAACATAATCAGTGCCACGGTAGTAGGGAGTGGGGTTTGCTCTCAATTCATATTCTAGTGGCTTGCTCTGTCAGTGTTGGTGGAGGTAGTCTTAGAGGTTCTTTGGTTGGGCTGTTTAATGTTAGCTTGTTTTGCAGTTACTTGATTGGAGTACTGTTTACTTCTTGTTAGTCTGATGTTAATCTTGGTGTTAATCTACAGTGCTCATGTGGGTGGAGATATTTTGGTCTTTTTGTTCCCTTTTTAGTTTGTTGGTTGTCTCCTTGCATAGTATGTAGATGTTATTTATATCTATGTGTCTATTAATGGCTGATTTGTTGGAGTGCCAGGTTTCCAATAATTCTCTAGCGTTTTTGGACTTGGCTTGGTATAGGATGGTCACAATTTTCCAGTTGAAACTATAGACAAGTTTGTCCATGTGTTGTGAAATTAAAGAGGTTTTTTCATCATTAAAGATATATACATATACCACTTCCTCTGTATATGTAGAGGTTATATATAACTGTTGTTTTTTCTTCTGGGACTGCTCAATTTTTTGGTTACTTAAGATGTTTTGGAGAGCTTTAGTTGATTTGTGTGCTATGCTGATGCCATGTAGTAATAATTGACTGTTAGTGGTTTTCTGAGATGATTTTGATGTATGACAATGTTATCTGTCATGGTTCCGATGATAAGACCAACAAAATCAGAACTCCGAGGCTAGAGATTTCCTCAAAGAACATGTTTATTGGTTACAAAATATTGGCAGTCAAAAGTGAAACCAAGTCTGAAATTCCCTCCAAAGAGTTACACTATTACAAAGTTAAACTTCCCAACCCAGTGCTATTCAACTCGCTATGCTCCCCAATAAAATAATTTGGTGGGCTTTCTAACAAAAACCCCAACCCTGGAGTGGAATCAATAAAAGTTCATCTTCAGCAGTCTTGGGGGTGATTTTGTACTAAGGGGTTGTCTCTGCCTAATAGAGATCTGCCAGGATTGTGATTCCCTCCTGCGGTACAACTTCCCAGGTTGGATTATCTGGTTCTTGGGCCGAGCCTCTGCCATCAGCACTTCCTCAGTGATCAGAGCAGCTGCTTGCGCTCTGATAGCCAAATCCCCGCTGTGACCAGCGGTGGATTCATCCTTCTCCATTGCGGATTCTTCACTGAGTCTTTGCCATCCTCCCCAAAGTGGTGGGTAGGTGGCCGGGGCTCAGCACCCCAGGGAAAATAAGGTTTTGTAGGAGACTTGGTTTAATGTTCTGATGATAAGACCAACAAAATCAGAACTCCGAGGCTAGAGATTTCCTCAAAGAACATATTTACTGGTTACAAAATATCGGCACGATCAAAAGTGAAACCAAGTCTGAAATTCCCTCCAAAAAGTTACACTATTACAAAGTCAAACTTCCCACCCCAGTGCTATGCAATCAGCTATGTTTCCCAATAGAATAATTTGGCGGGCTTTCTAACAAAACACTCAACCCTCTAAGCGAGGGGTCCAAACTTGGCCTTTTTATGACTTGTGGACTTCAACTCCCAGAATTCCTCAGCCAGGCACGCTGGCTGAGGAATTCTGGGAGCTGAAGTCCACAAGTCATAAAAGGGCCAAGTTTGAAGACCCCTGCTCTAAGCTAACTGATAGAATGACCTTGGTTCCCACAAGACCCAGTATCGTTTAGACTAGCAAAAATACTCCACACCCCCTCTCTTTCTTGTAGCAACCTAGAATGAGCAAGATGGCTTCAGCCAGGTTTGTTGTAGAGTTGACAGAATCCTTTTTATCGCTTGTGTTGATTGTGCTATATTGAATTGAATGGTCAGTGCTCAAGCATAAACATACTGCAGCAACTCAGAACAGCAGAAAAAGGAAACAGATCATCTATACAACATCTTCCAACAAAATGGATATCCACGTAACTTCATCAAAAAGTGCTGACCACTTAACAAGCCAAGGGAACAAAAAGACCAAAACACCTCCCCGCCAGCAATCAACACTCAGATGAACATAGATTAACATCAAGATTAACTAACATCAGACTAATAATCAAGAAGTTTTTTTTTCTTTTTACAACCCTGTAATCCCTTGTTTTAGGGTACAATCAGGGCGACTGAATGAAGCTGAGCTTTTTACTGGCCAGATGCCCTTCCTAATGCCTAAGAAAAATTTGCAGCAGATATTTTCTCTTTGCGCCCTAATAGAGAAACATCTGTCACTGCCTAGGATTGAATTCTCAATCTTCTGAGTGGGAGTATCTTCACCTCTAGGCCACCTCGTTACTCAATCAAGAAGTACACAATACCTCAATCAAATAACTGCAAAACAGGCTAACAGTAAGCAGCCCAATCAAAGAACATCTAAGACCACCCCTACCAACAAGGCAAGCCACTAGAATATGAATTGAGAGCAAACTCAACTCCCTACTAGCACTGATCATGTTATCTAGTTTGGGTACTAAAACATCTACAGCAGGGGTCCCCAACCTCTGGTCCGTGGACTGGCACCGGTCCATGGCATGCCGGGCCACGCAAACAAGTGAAGCCCCATCTGCGGGATGCAGGCAGCACACAAAACCACGCCCCCTCCGGTCCACAGAAAAACCTTTCTCCACAAAACTGGTCCCTGGTGCCTAAAAGATTGGGGACCACTGATCTACAAGAAAACAATAGAGCTCAGAGAACACCATGTCAACCCTGAAATACAAATATTTTTCTTTATTGATATATTGTATGATTTCATACAGTGTTTGGATTAAGGGTATTATTAGAAATTAGATACAAAATTAAATCATGGAGTTGATCATTATTTAAGTAAGAAGATATTCATATATTTGCAGTTATAAACAACACTATATATATATATATATATATATATATATATATATATATATATATATATATATATATATATATATATATATATATNGAACCTTGTGGTCTGGATCTAGGCTACTTCCATTCTCCAGCTATTCTCTAAAATGGTCCATTGGGAAATGTTATTTTTCAACTCACTCTTCTTTCTCCAGGGACCATTTTTTTGTCTTTAACTTATAGCCTACATCAGTGATGGCGAACCTTTTAGAGACCGAGTGCCCAAAAACTGCCCCAGCCCCCGCTCCACCCCCACTCTGTCCCCCACCCACCTGCCCGCAGGGCCATTCACCGCCTCCAGGGCCCGCCACAGATCGCCCAGGCAGCCCAGCAGCACCATGGCGGCCACGCCCTCTGCCTGCGCTCCGCAGCATCAACTGTACGGGATGAGGCATGAGGGCAGAGTCTTGTCTACGCTGCCTGGCTGCCATGTCCTTGGCTGCGCTGCTCCGTGTGGGCCACTCTCGGGGGCGACTCTCCTCCAGGGGGGCTGCTGATGAGGGGGTCGTGGGGGGAGGTGAGGCTGGGGCAACGGCACGTGTGCCCACAGAGAGGGCTCTGAGTGCCACCTCTGGCACGCGTGCCACAGGTTCGCCACCACTGGCCTACATGTTCATCTTAATCCTTTTGAAGTTAATAGGGTGCTTGTCCTTATCACTTTTTCTGACTTTCACTTTCTTTTTCTGCAAACACTGTTGAACAGCAGAAAACAATTTCCAAAAAGCAGAATATTGCATCTGCATCAGTAGTATTCTCTGAAATATATACGGTTGGTTGATTGTTGGCTATCTAATAATATACTGTATCTTAGAATTTGCTAAATCAATAATTAAATAAATGTATTTGCAAAAGTCTATAAAACCAGAAAAGTCACTCCATTCAGCATTTTTCCTGACATGTCTACTATGCAGATTTATGAGAGATGAATTTTACAGCTTAAACAATCCTTTCCAAATCTATAATTCTATGAAGAATATAAATATTTTATACATCAATGATACATTATTACAATTTTTGATTCCCTGACATTTAAGGATGCAAAATATTCTGTTCCACTTCAATTCCAAAAAAACATCTATATGTGTAAACACTAAACTCTTAGATAAGTGTGTTTCACAGTTTTTAAAATGAGTTGCCCAGAGTTGCCTGAAAGGTGGGTGGTTATATAATTGTTTTAAATAAATAAGTATGGGACACACCTGGCATATGGAGAAGTCATTCAAAGCCAAAACAGGGATTAATAGCATATTTAAAACATTTGGATTCACTTGTTTCTATCTCACACTAGATTAGAAACTTGTGGCAAACCATGTACTCCAATCCCCCCAAAACCATAGTTTGCTGTAAACAGAGGTCTGGTATTTCTAGGTGGGTGAACAAAATAAATGGCACAAATCTACAGTACACATAAAACCAAACGGGTATTCTTAGAAGTTACTATGTGTTTCTCCACATTCTGTTAATTTTTCCATTAATTGTTGACACTATTTGAAATGGATTTCAATTTAATATATAGCAATATCAACACAATAGCACTTAGACTTATACACTGTCCCACAGTATTTTACAGCACTCTCTGGCTGGTTTACAATGTCAGCATATTGCCCTCAACAATTGGGGTCCTCCTTTTACCGACCTTGGAAGGATGGAAGGCTGAATCAACATTGAGCCTATCAGGATTGAACTCCAGGCTGTGAGCAGAATTAGCCTGCAATACTGCATTCTAACCATTGCGCCACCAAGGCTCTTCATATACACTGACAATCATAGCAAGGTACAAATAAATATTTAGGAAAGCAGATTTTACTATTAAAATATTTGTAATTCTTGCCTGTCTTATAAAGAAGTCTCCATGAATCAGAGATACAATTCCAAAATTTGTGTATTTAAATATATGATCCATCAGCCACATCATCCGACGAACAACCTGGGAAAATTGAGATAAGAAATAGTGTGCATTCTGCATATAAAGAAAACAAAAATCTGAGAGGGGTTTTCTGTTCCATAGAAACAAATGTATAAAAAAAAATACAAAAAATATTTTTGCTATTAAATAGAAAACTGAATACAAATTGCATCCTTAGAGATAAAAGCTTACTAGCTTTCAAGAAGTATTTACTAAAACAACATTCTCTCAGTATATTTCTCATTCTTCCTAAAATCCTTATTTTCACTTTATATAAAATAGATAGCTATTTCTTCAATATCTTGGATATGATTTATCTAAATCATTTAAATCATTTATTTAAAATCTACTTTCATTAGTTAACATTTTTAAAGCTCTCACATAATCTTTATTTTAATTTTTTTTATTTCAGGTAAGAAAAAGTAAGAGAATACAAGGAAATATGTAGATGTAAACAGGATTTGCAAAACTATATTGATTATTCAAAAAATATACCTGTCAAATAATACTTTTTAAGATCTTTAAACATTTCTATTTTAGAAAACATTCATTTACAATGTTAATTTAATTTTTAAAATTTTTGTAGATGTACAAAGTTGACAAAGTTAACCTAATTCTTGTATTATACCCATCACATTCATTTTAAATATGCCATTATATGTTCTCTACAGGTAGTCAACAGGTTCTCTACAGGTAGTCCTCAACTTATAACAGTTCATTTAGTGACCGTTCAAAGTTACAGTGGCACTGAAAAAAGTGACTTATGACTGGTTCATATTTCTGACTGTTGCAATGTTCCAGGGTTATGTGATATTACACTAATGATACCCAACTCTATGGCTTTCTACTACTAAATTCCATCAGTACTTTTGAATGTTTCTTAAGTTCAAAAATGGGATGGGTGAAAGAAAAAAAGAGAACCAGCTGAATTAGATGAAGACAAGATGGAAAGATTGTAAACAGGACTTGGGGACTGAGGTTCAACCTCTTGAATAAAATTGCATTCGCCTTATAACAGTGGCCCGCAACCTTTTGGACATCAGGGACCAGTTCCGTGGAGAAAGGTTTTTCTGTGGACTGGAGGGGGCGTGGTTTCGCATGCTGCCTGCATCCCGTGGATGGGGCTTCACTTATTTATGCGGTCTGGTTCCTGGCATGTCACGGACCAGTGCCAGTCTGTGGACTGGGGTTTAGGGAACCCTGCCTTAAAAGATCAGAACCCTTATGTGGGAATCTTTCTTAAAACTCAGCTGTAACTGCATTCACTCCCTTAGCATTTACAGCTGGCCCCAAATCTTTCAGGGCTTAGGAAATTTGTAAAGATGCATGGCTTCCATCAGACTCTTAACTGTCCAATGATTTGATTATTTTGCTCTTTACCTGTCTATTTTAACTTCAATACAAGTAGTCCTCTACTTATGAACACAACTGAACCCAACATTTCCATTGCTAAGCAAGACAGTTGTTAAGTCAGTTTTGCCTCATTTTACGACCTTTCTTGCCATAGTTAAGTGAATCACTGCAGTTGTTAAGTTAGAAACAAGATTGTTAAGTGAATCTGCTTTCCCAATTGACTTTGCTTGTCAGGTTGCAAAAGGTGATCACATGACCCTGGGAAATTGCAACCATTATAAATATATATATCAGTTGCCAAACATCCAAATTTTTATCACATGACCATGGAGATGCTACAATGATCATAAGTATGAAAAATGGTCAGAATTAACTTTTTTCAATGCCATTTCTAACTTCAGTCACAATGGTTGTAAATTTTTATTTATTATCATGGCTGTATATCAGAGCAGGTAGGTAGGTATGGATAGACAGATATACACAGACAGACAGACTTTAATGCTGCCTGACCTGAACACTTGTGTGTCCTGCTTCTACAACAGACATGTAGCGTGTTTCCCCAAAAATCAGACCTACCCCGAAAATAAGCCCTAGCTTGATTGGGGGGGGGGGTAATATAAGCCCTATCCCGAAAATAAGCCCTAGTTTTAGGGCGAGGCGCATGCCTAAAAATCAAGCTAGGGCAGGGATGGAGCTATCCCACACTCTGCACACCTGCTTACTGTTGCAGCCAGGCCTCCCATACCCCGACACCTGCCTCGCCAGTCCACTTCTTCTGTGGCCCTTGCCGTCGGTCAAGTGAGTCACCCCCGGACTCCATTTCACTGTCAGAGGCCTTCAGGAAATGCCTCTGCAGCTGAGAATGGGACTCTGGATCGATGCACATGTCACCCCTGGGCTTCATTTTGCTGTCAGAGGCCTTCAGGAAAGGCCTCCACAGCCAAGAACCGAATTCTGGATTGACGCATGCGGCACCCCCTGAAGGCCTGACGGTGAAATGTAGGCCGGGGGCAAAGCATGCAAACAGCGGCAAGCAGCCGCAGAAGAAGCGGGCCAGCCACGAGGTGAGTCTGTGGAAAAGACATCCCCCCAAAATAAAAACTGGTGCCTCTTTTGGAGACAAAATAAAAAATAAAAAATAAGATTGGATCTTATTTTGGGGGAAACACGGTAAATAATGTAAGTTGATGTGAGAAGATACAGAAATAAAAAATATGATTAAAGTATTGGATTGACATAGATTTCGTGTATTGGTTCTCTAATGTTATATTTCTGAAAAAATTACCCAGATTGTTCAACAAGTACAGCATATCAACAATATCTATCAAAGTAGCATACCGTGCCTTTGTCTTGAAGGCACATCATTAGGGTGCAAATATCTCCGGTTGCTTGATGATTCACCAGCATCAAAGCTTCATCTTCTGAAACTGTTCTAATATCATCTCCCCATTCCATGACTATGCAGAAACAGAAGGGAAGAACAGACTTAATTAAAATAATGGTCCCTTACACAAATTTAAAATAGATGAAAATAACTCATGTTTCAGAGGTATTCCAACAGATTAGAATACATTGATTTGTAAATTTGGAGTACTTCAAATATAATACACTATTTAAAGCTAAAGTGATGTTTAATGGAAATACTTTCAAATTCTCTTAAGCTTTCTCTTAGAAAGCCCCAAATATACATTCTCCTACATTTATTTTTCCCCTACCTTTTCTCAATTGCTATTCAATTAATGCATTTTCAGGGGAAACATGTATGCAAAAAATCATTTTTGAGATGCCATTATAAAAAAATACTTTATAAAAATGATGTTCTTAATTTTTCACATGTATATGCATGAAATCAAATTTCAATAGCAGGTGATAAGAAGAAACAAAGACATAAAAATGAGGTAAAACTAAAATGTAGTAATCTTGCAATAAAATTTCTAAATCCAAGAACAAATACTATTTTCCATTTTTAAATTTGTAAATTATTATATACTATATATTGAACATGTATGTCAAAACTATCTTTGAAAATAAGTAAAACAATGATAAGGCAAGAAAAAAATGAAGACTTATAAAAATGAGACAAAATTAAAATGTAGTAATCTCACGGGTAAATTTCTAAATTCAGAAACAAATACCCTAGATTTTTCATTTCTAAATTTGTAAATTATTATATACTGTATATTGAACATGTATGTTGAAACTATCTTGAAAAATAAGTAAAACAATGATAAGATAAAGTCTCCTTCAAAGTGAACTCAATGCCTGGTGATTTCATGATTATGTCATTATTTTCAAAAACTTGAAATGATTTACCATTGCATTCTTCTATTATTATTTCCTTAATTTTCTACTCTAGCTTGATATTTTCTGTAAGTCTCCCAGTCAAATAATAATCCAGCATGGACAAAGATTGCAAGGATGTTACAATGCTTCAGTTTTTAATTCAAGCATTCATATTCTGATACCAAATGCTTAAAACTTAAAAAACACTGATGAATGAGAAAGACTTGTATATAGTGAAACTTTTTCCTTCACAGGTATATAAAAGTGTCTACAAACTACATTGAATCATACAAAAAATAGTGTATCATAAAATCCCAATTCAAGTCACACAAATTCAGTCTAGGTAGAGTTAAATTATGTTAACCCCCTCCCCCCAAAATGGGTCAACTTTAGTTAACCATGGATAAATGTCATGTGATGATAGCCTATGACTCAGTAGGACATGCAAGGAGAACTACAAAACATAACTTGCTAAAATTACCATGGGGCAATGATGGGTTCTTGTTTTTATTTTCAGAATTTAAAATCTAATCCCTGATGATGGACCACTTTGTGGTTTTCCTATGAGCATACTGATACTAGCTCTGATTCAATACTGAAGCTGGCTAGTTTTCTTGCAGGGTAGAGAGAATCATGCCTGAACAATTCATTTGTGAATTGTCCCATATGAACCATCTGCCTGTTGTAAATATTACTGAAATATTAGCTTCATATATCATAATTAAGGAAAGTAAAGAATCATGGAATATAGTCGCCCAAGAGTACTATAGATGTAGAATGATCTCCATCAAGAGTTCCAATAGTAATGTAAAGTTCAGTTATCTAGGAAAGCTTAGCAATGTTAATTCCTAAGTGTTATTCTATAAAATAGCTTGAACTAATTTTAACTACATTCTGAAATTTTTAGATAGGATTCTCTCACTACAACATGTTCTACAGTTACATTGGAAGCTACAAAATGTTCCCAAGAAAAAATACAATATGGAGAAGAATCATAATAATTATGCTCTTCAAATAAATTTGATTAGGTCTTAAGATTGAAGAAGGTTACTACTCTAATTTTTGTTAAACTAATAGATGTAAGGAAATGTCTGTAAATAATTATCAAGTTTTTTACTTAATAATCACATTACTGATTCATTACTGTGTTAAGAATTCTAAATTTCTAAGCTTGCTATGTCATCCTGAGAGAACATGCATTTCTTCTATTAATTCTCTTCAAAGCCTCTGTAATAAGCAAAACTAAAAGTATCTTATTCTTATGCATTTGACAAGACTGGTCAAAGTCTAAATTTTATCTTAAGTTCAAAATACACATACATATTTTCAAACATAAAAACGTTCAAGTGGCAAGATTTAGGTAACGTTAGCTAGTAGACATGTCATAACTCCCAACATATGTAATTTCATATACAAATATAAAAAGATCTATCTATACCTATTCATAACCAGAAATAATTAAGATATTCCTAAAGCAATGTTAAATACTTTTGAACTTAACAAATCTTAAGATTCTAAGTTTTTCTTTTAAAAAATCTGTTTTATTATTTTTATTTATTTATTTATTTATTTATTTACACAATTTATATGCCGCCCTTCTCCCCATGGGACTCAGGGCGGCTCACAGCATATTAAAACATCGTACAAAAAAATTTTCCCCTGCTAAAAACCAATTAAAACCCAAATATTGGTAGCTGTGGCTCTTTAAAATCGTTTAAAAATTGTCCCTATTTAAAACTCACCCTAGG